GATATGTTTAGTGTAATAATGTATTCTTATATTTTCATAGTATATTGTTTTTATTTGGGTGTTCACTATTTGCCCATAACTGGGACCCCTAACAGGTGCTACCACCTCGGGTCAGGGGGAATATAGGAACAACAGCAATTATGTGGTGAATACATACACCTCAAACACCTCAATCATCCGTTTATTGTCAAACCCAGTGCGGTGTAATAATTGATAATAATAATAATATTAAGAATCCTAGCCTTTTACATATAAAAAACATACGGCATTTATTGGCCGAGCAGCTGGTACTGCTATTCTGTTGAAAAAAAAATACTCTCCCTCTATAACACGCCTACACACTCATACAAACACAAACTTAGGTGGATAAAAACATTTGCAATATCGCGATGAAAAATCATTTATATTACACAAATATATTTAATTTGACACATAATTTTGTCAATGCATTAATTCCACTAATGTGCACTAATCTCATAGATACTAGATATAAATTCCTATATATATATATATATATATATATATATATATATATATATATATATATATATATATATATATTATATTTGTGTGAGGCAGGATGTGTGTGTGTAACGAATGCACGGCCGCAATTTTCGACGGATTTGCAACAAAATTTAAATGCACATGCTCCAAGTTAGCGGGAAGGCCAAGATAGTGGAAATAATCGATTTTTTTCATGCTTCTACGTCAGTTTCCATGTAGTTTATGGCCATTTTCTACTGGCCAGAGTGAGAGCCTATAACTGGCTGCCACGAATAGGCAGGAAGCTTCTATTGGCCAGCGTGAGAGTCAACAGCTGACTGACACGAATGTTAACTAGCATGCTAGCATGCAAAAAAATCGATAGCTGCATTCCAACAAGTGCGAAAAATTTAAATCTGCATAGCACTTTGCTCCAATTGGCTCATTCGCTTGCTTAATGTTGATTCTGATTCTGCAGAACTGGTTTGTGTGTGAAAAAGTATTTGTTGTTAACATTCATTTTTCATTCAGTTTTTCCAGTTACGAGTTCTTTTTTAAAGCTGATCGTTTTGTGTCCATTTTGTTTAGTTCTTTTTTCGTAACAGTTTTAATGTTTAGTATAGAGCTTAGAAAAAATTCGCAGGCAATAAGTAAGGCATTTAGCAACATCAGCACGACAAAGGGCACTCCTTTAAAGGCAGGGAAGGGCAAAAATATTTTAAGTCAAGTGATAGCGATTGCTGTATGAGTCGTACGATTTTTGAATCAAGCACGGGCAATGCCTGGCCATGCTGCTAGTCATTTATAAATCCTTCCTATTTAAAGTGGTGTGGAATGCTAATACGTTGATTACGTCTTTTTTCTGTTTACATGGCTATTGTACCATATCTATGGATTCACACATATACAGTAGTAAATGCTGTATGTTGGTCTGCAGTTTAAGATTCGTCTTCAGTTGTGCTGGTTAAGCACTCTGCCTCCTCATATCCTCAGACAGGGCTATGCCGAAGGGCAGAATCTCCTCTCGGGAAATATCTATCCGACCCCGTTTTATACGGGGGTCTAGGGGAAACTTTTCTTTGAGCCTACGGGCTCGGATACCCAACATTAAATTTGGCATTGTGCCATCTCTGACATGCAGTTGGAGATTCATTGTAGAATTCACTTGACTCACTTCTAGCAGTTGATTACTTCTTCTCCGCGACCCTGGCAAATCTTATATGTTGTTCTTGTCCTAAGTATTATTGTTCATTACCAACCTTCGTGTGATTCAGTAACCTTCCCTGGGTTACAACAATATGCTATCCCTTTTAGTTGTTGCTGCTCTTAGTAGTCTTCATATGATTGTTTGTTTGTTTTTTTTGTTTTTTTTCTTTATAGAGTTCTTTGTTTCCGATTCTGTAGGGCTTCTTCACAACATTCAAAGCAATACATGTACGATAAGGCAGGGAGATAAAAGAGTGAACCCCTAGTGAATGAAGTGAAAACATCGACAGAAAGAAAACTAGAGAATCAGACTTTTTAAAGCATCAGCGCATATGCTATGACAACCAACTCAGCAGTCCTAGCGTAGATATACATATCATATTATTTAATTATTTAACCACAAGCAAGTCTACGGGGTGCGATGAACAAATTGTCGCAATTTTATATTATTAATTTCGTACCTGCGCGTTGTTTGTTTTTGATTTGGTCGATAGCACAGTATAGTAGAGTTAGTTGGTCACTGAGAAAAAGAGAACCTATATCGTAATTCACTCCACTAGAAATTTGGAAACAGCATACTTTACTTCTTGGCATTCGCACCGGAAACTCCAATATGTACAGTTCAGAGTATTTGTGTGTCAATCTGAAACAATGCAGAGGATTCGAAAAGAGACGAGTCTAAGGTATGCCAGGTCGAAAAACTCACTCTGATCGTTCTGATAGGAAAAGAACTCAAACTCATTAGTAAGGCCTCCATCAAGTGCCTGGAGGAGGTATTGCTGCCATGGGACAAGAGAGTGCTCGCTGGAATACTATATATCAGGTAACAGGACACTACACCATACCAAACCAGAAAGAAGTCGCAGTCGTGGCTGTCAGACAATTTTTACGATCACATCACCCATTATATCTGGGCACCTAATCCACCAGACTGAAACCTACTTGATTATAATGTGTGGGACGAAGTTAATAGAGAGACCAACAAATTCCTTGTAAGCCCAAAGATGAACTGAAAGCAAGGATTAAGGCAGGATTTACCAACTTAAACAAGGAGACCGTCCACAAGAGTTGCAAGAAATTCGGAAGTCATCTGGAGGTCGTGGTTGAAGCCAATGACGATCTTATTGAATAAATTTACGCTTTAGTATTTCAAGATATTTTTGTGTAATTTTGGTAAATATATCTGTTAAAATGAGGTGCCAGTGTTATTTTCATTTTTTGCGTAATTTAGACGACATTTTGTTAATCGACTATGTATAGTACCATTTGGACGCCGGGGCTTACAGTGAGTGAATGAGAATGATAAGCATTTAGTAAGAAGTGAGGAAATGTACGATAAAGAACAGGGTTCCTAGAGACATAAGATGACGAATGCATTTACATTTTTGAAGATTGTTGGATGCAGACAAGCAAGAAACCGGAAGTGAGTTTCACAGGCGGGAAGGGAGAGAAAAAGAAAATATTAGAATAGAACTGACAGTTGCATTTCGTTAGTTCAACAATATAAATCTGAAACTTATTTGGCTATCTAGTGGCACGCTTAAATTCAAAGAGTTGAACCATTATGGACAACAGCTGTAGAAAAGACGAAGAGGAGTCACATCACGACGCCGAGAAAGTGGTTGAGGCCGATAGGCTTGGTCAGGGTCGATAACATTACATTATCTTGAACTTTGTCAAGAATCTCAAGATATCCAGCAGGAATACCACAGAAAATATGGCGGCAGTATACAATACACGGGCGAATGATAGATTTTTTAAATGTGAAAGATGGATTCTGACAAGGAATATTTTCTGGCGCGACACAGTGAACCAACTTTTCTTACAGTAGACTTAGCAATTTATTCAATATTATCACTCTAACTTCTGCCAGTAGCGTGAATCCAAGAATGCGCAAAGCTGTTGGCAGACAAAAAATGTTCTTTGTGGTGAGTAAATGAAAATAGTTTTGTGTTGGAGGCGTTAAACTTTGTAAGATATTTCTTGCCCCAGTTAACCACTGATCGGAGTTCCATTTCGAGAGAAGGGTTACTTTGTCTGATTCGGTGATAAGGAAGAAGTATAGGCGCAATTGTTAAATAAAGAAAGACAAACAAATACTGAGAGAAACACGCTCTTTCAGCAGCAAAATTAAAGAGATGCGGCGACGGAGGTGGTCAAGCTGGACAGCAGGTCTTCCGCAACTGAATTTGAGGCAATAAAATATCAGTTCCAATTTCTAGCCTCGTCGTATTTCTATCTAAAAATCGTCTAGATAATTCAAGAGATATTTCGTGAATTTCGTTGCATAGTGATTGTGCGTTTAATCTTTGGTCGATGTATTATGGACGAGGAGGAACAAGACTGATACTAACTGAATAGTGCTTAAAAAAGAAGTCGTTCCTAGACATGGATAGCGGAAAGAGAATCATGTATTCAGGTGGATTAAAAAAAATGTTTAGTTCGATATTACGTGAAAATTACATGGATCGAGAGACACCTGAAGAGAATCGCTGTGTAGGAAAGCCGAAAAGACGTGACAATAGTATCAGATTTATTTTGAAGCCATTTTTCATGTTCTTGTCTTAACTTTAAAATTTTAAACTGTTTCGACATTAAAAAAAAAAAATTATTCCATACATTTAAAATTTCCTAGACTAACGCCAATTTTATTGTGAAAAGGTTTTTGTATTACATCAGAGTTAGAGTATATTTATATCTATGTCTCAGTTTTGCATTTCTATGTATTTCATCTCTCTCTCTCTCTCTCTGTTTCCCTCTCACTATATCTCTCTATTTCTCTTCCTCTCTCTCTCTCTCTCTATCTATCTATCTATCTATCTATCTATCTATTATTGCCTTCTATCTATCTATCTATCTATCTATCTATCTATCTATCTATCTATCTATCTGTTATTGCCATCTATCTATCTATCTATCTACCTATATGTTACTATCTATCTATCTATCTATCTATCTATCTATCTATCTATCTATCTATCCTTTATTGCTATCTATCTATCTATCTATCTATCTATCTATCTATCTATCTATCTATCTATCTGTTACTATCTATCTATCTATCTATCTATCAGTTAAAATATATTTCTATGTGTGTATCATTTTAGAACAAACAGGCACGCACACCCACATGCACACCTACACGCCCAAACACACACAAACGTGCGTGTGCGCGCACACAAACACACACGCGCGCGCACACACACACACACACATATACATATTGCGTATGTATGCATAATTCAAGTACCGCATACATAAGCATATGATTCCGTACATCTACACAATCGTTCAGTTACTTATGCAAACCAATGCTTCTCTCTCACATCAAACACATTTTCTCTCTTTTTCCTTCCGACTTTTCTTTTTTTCCCTTCCTTCTCTACCGTTGCCGCCATGTTAGATATGTCTGGCGCCCGATAATGGGCTATTTTGGAGCGGCCCGTAAACATATTTAGGCAAATCACACCGCGCACTGACCCCCATTGTAGAAAAGTTCCATTTGCCGACTAATCCTTCCATTAACTATTAAACAAGATGCACACGGCTGGCCCATACTGAGAGAGAGAGAGAGAGAGAGAGAGAGAGAGAGAGAGAGAGATGCGGCAGAGGGTAGGGCTGGTTGCGAAGTAGGCCGCTATGACGATGACTGTTCGGGCCGGGTGTTGGGCGGGATTGCAATCTGGTTGTGATGGTGGCGGTAGTAAAATCACTTCGATTGATTTTCGTTAGTATCGATTAGAAAGAACGGGGATGCATGGAAAGTAGAAGTGATGAATGGTGTAGGGTAGGGATCGTGTGCCAATAGTGTTGTTGCTGTTGACGGTGCCAGGGAAGGGGTTGATATAGGTGTTAATATTGGATGGAGAAAGAGAAAGAAAACTGGGGTGGTGGAAATGAAATAATACTGAGATAAATCGAACGCGTTTAGATGAAGATGAAAGCAAATGTATTGCTTGGGTAATAGAATAACAAATAAAAAAAAATGTTACTGTTTCCTCGAAGGAATACGATGAGGCAGGAGATTGTTTAAATTAATGCACACACATAAGCGCGAGCGCTCACAGACACACACACACACACACACACACACACACACATATATATATATATATATATATATATATATATATGCTGGGTGAGCGCTTGGGAGTAGAAGGTTTTGTAAGCTTGGGTGTGCGGATGGTGTAATGGATAAATAACTGATATGAATTGGGGCTCGGCCCTCTAATTTCAATTTCAGGTAGGTTTGTTATAGGGACTTACACACAAATTCACTCAGGAAAGGTATGAATCCATTTCTCTCTTCAGATATCCTTTAACTAGAAATATTAAATCATTATTATTTACACAATCTCTGTATATATATATATATATATATATATATATATATATATATATATATATAAATATATTGATTTAAAATATATTTTTTCGCTACACAGTTCTAACCATGTTTCAAAAAATTTTTTGAAACATGGTAAAACATATTTTAAATCAATTAATTTATAAAGTTAATGCTCTGTAAATTTACATTGAGCACTATTTTGTAAAAATAAAAATATCTATAAGAACACCGGATTATATATCTTACTGTTCTTTCTATATATATATATATATATATATATATATATATATATATATATATATATATATATATATATATATATAACAGTGTGAAACCAAGAGGCACAAACTCACATTAATACAACTAAATATATTAGCTCTATCACTGATATTCAGCGCTTTTCAATAAGTTACGCACATATATAATATAAAAATTACAACACAACTATACATATATATATATATATATATATATTATTCGGACTATTGTCCTCATCATTTTCGCCTTCTTCAGGTGGTTGGAATGTCGAACTGAACCCTTTATTTCGCTCACTGGGTAGACTGTTCTAGTTCCACGCGCCATGTTTAATGGATGTCAATTATCAGTTATCTCCTGTTAATTTTCCCTCTGAAAGTTCTCCATTGCCTTAACCGGGTATTGAACTCATCCTGTCACTGGATCTAACCAACGCCTTTATCCACTGTGCCATGTGTCCTTCTGGATATTATAAACCTAATGTCTTCAGCAACCATTTTTACCAGTGCTCATATTGCAATTATGCTGTTATCATTACATGTTTTTACCAGAGCTCATATTGCAACTATGTTGTCATCATTGCTTATCTGGCACTCCTTATATATATATATATATATATATATATATATATATATATACATACATATATATATATATATATATATATATATATATATATATATATATATATATATATATATATATATATATGTGTGTGTGTGTGTGTTTGTATGTATGTATGTATATAAAAGTTGATAAACCGTGAAAAAAATACAATCATCTATATAGGGGCGCCGAATATGTACGTATGTGTATTTCATAATGTCAGTGAATCTGTGTGTGTGCATTTGTACATATATTTGAGCGTCTGTTAGCGTGGGTAGTAAGTTTGCTTCCCGAGCATGAGGCCAGGTCGATATGACCCTAGCCTTGTGAGGGAAATCGAGTCGAAGGAACTCTTCAGAAGCCTTCGATAGTCCTGCTAGAACGAATTCTCAAGTAATCGTGACCGAGCATCTGAGTGTACTGGCGTTGTTCAAGCTGCTGGTCATGACAGTCTATCGGCTCTCGCCTAGAAACTCTAAATAAGGACCGTTCAAGTAAAGATGCAATAAAAACAACTGACTGGGTCCGCAGATATGGAACAAACACAAATATACCTGAGCAGGTGTCTGTGATAAGGATTTTATAGAAAAACGAGAGTAGCCATTTCTTCTTTGGGAAAGTGTCTTTAGTATACGTTTATCTCTCTCCTTTAATACATACATACATACATACATACATACATATATATATATATATATATATATATATATATATATATATATATATATATATATGCACACACACATATGTAAAAATGTATCTGTATATTTACACAGATCGCTCCCAATATCACTCTCTATATGGTCATATTTTTGAGAGTTTATCAAATGAGTAAATATTTAGCATGCCCTAATATCTTTCAACGAAAATTTTTAATACCTTTTCATATATACGACAAAATGAAACCGTCGTTATATATATATATATATATATATATATATATATATATATATATATATGTGTGTGTGTGTGTGTGTGTGTGTGTGTGTGTGTGTGTGTGTGTATATATATATATATATATATATATATACACTCATATATATATATATATATATATATATATAATTATTTATTTAAAATATGATTCCAAATCGCTACATAAAAGGTCTCATGTTTCAAAACAAGAGCCGAAAACTTCAATATAATCCTTTAAATTAAATTGAGTTGAAAGTAAAATGGGCTCCGTTCCATCTTCAAGCGAAATTTTTGTTGGAATAACGTATATCTGAAATTTACTTGTTTTAAAATTGAAATCAAAATCCCCATGGTAACAGCTATGGTGAATTGTCTAAATTGGGTAGGCTAGTGTAGGGTGTTTATAATAAGTAGCGGTATAGAGATACTTTCAAGGTGTCAAGTCGGGGAAAGGTGGGAGTGTCAAAAATGAAACGGAAGATGTATTGGCCATCGTCTAGTTTGCTTGTCTATGGAGATTTATTTATTTTATTTTATTTTATTATGAAAGGGAATTGTGCATATAAAAAAAGAAAAACTTTCGTAACGTTTGTTTTTTGACGACTTCATAAAGGGTTATCATATATGTAAGGTATTTAAACTACTAATTTAGGCTATGGATTATGAAGTGTGTTATGTTGTATGCATGTTTGTAGTTAATTATTCCTACTATGAATCTGATGATTGGGCTATTTGTTAAACAAGTTATATAAATTTTTTTTTATCTAATAATTCAAACCAAAAATCTGATGATGCCTACAAAAACTGTTAACTCGTGTCTATTATTTAATAGATTATTATTATTTAGAAGTTTAATAATGTGCAATATATATATATATATATATATATATATATATATATATATATATGTATATACACACTCATATATATATATATATATACGTATATATGTACATAGGTTAGCCCGGCCTTTTGAATAGGCATAGAAATTTATCCATTATTTCTTTTTAGGATAGAGATTCCGGTTCGATTTAAAGTCTTTCATTCTCTCCGGTTGTAGCCTCTTGCGTCTTAGTAGAATTTCCCCTTCCTTGGAGTAGATTGATTACATACATACATACACACGCGCGCGCACACACACACGCAAAGACACACGCACACGTAAAGACACACGCACGCAAAGACACACGCACGTAAAGACACACGCACACGCAAAGACACACGCACATATATATGTACACACATATACATGTGTGTGTGGTGTGTGTGTGTGTGTGTAGTGTGTGTGTGTGTGTGTGAGTGTAGGTTTACTTCGACAGTTGTATTATTTCAATCATTGTTATATTGGATATTCGTGTTTGAAATACACGCCTAGTTTTTAATTTTACTTTAAGCAGCGCGACAGGGTAGATTTTCTTTAGTAAGATTTCTGTTTTAAGTAACAATAAAGGTTGACATCTATTTCAAATAATGATTATCCACTATAATTATGCTTGAAATGTATATTTATTAATATATATATATATATATATATATATATATATATATATATATATATATATATAAGGTCTGGTACATAACAACGATTACTGTTCCAATATCACCAGTACTTTATATGCAATTCATATATTTATATACTTATATATATATATATAGATAGATAGATAGATAGATTGATAGATAGATAGACAAAGGTGCAAATGTACTGCTCCTTAGATAACATTTACATACAGAGGGAGATAGAGAGGGAGAGAGAGAGAGAGAGAGAGAGTCTTATATATATATATATATATATATATATATATATATATATATATATATATACGCACTCAGACAATTTATATTTATACACACATATTTTTTTAAAAGGTGCAAGTCTACAAATGTCAATGAGTATTTACACACAATCCCACACACATATATATATATATATATATATATATATATATATATATATACGAATTTATATCTAGTATTTATGAGGTTAGTGCACATTAGTGGAATTAATGCATTGACAAAATTATGTGTCAAATTAAATATATTTGCATAATATATATGATTTTTCATCGCGATATTGCAAAAGTTTTTATCCACATAAGTTTGTTTGTGTGTGTATGTGTGTGTGGTGTGTGAAATAGGGAGAATATTTTTTTATTTTTTGCTGGGAGTTTGCTAAATTACGAAAACGGATAACAAAGTAAATCCTTATCCAACTTCTGCTCTAAAATAAAGAAAAAAAAAGCGAAAAATCAATGAAGCCTATTCATGAAAGTTTAAGAAAATGCATGAAAAATAATAATTACGTAAAATTAAAAAACACTAAAGAAGGAACAACCAATGTGGAATATTTATAAAACAAAGATTTAAATAGATTGGGAAAAGAGAAAAAAAAAAGAAAGAAAGAAAGAAAAAGAGAAGATGAGAAATGAGATAAAAGAAAAAAAATATGGAGGGAATTTGAAAGAAAGTCAGACAAGATGGAAAATGCCAAAAGATGCAAAAGAAATAAAGAAACGATTTAAAAAAAATAAATAAATAAAAGGAATAAACAAATAAACGCATAAATAAATAAAAAAGAAAGAAAGAAAGTAACAAATAATGAATAAAAGAAATGTGTTCAAATGTTGATCCGATAGAAAGAAGGTGAAAGAAAGGCAGCTGATAAATAAAATGCCAAAAGAAAATGAAAGATGAACAGAAAAAAAAATGAAGTAAATGGAAAC